CGCTCTTCCGATCTCCCCAAAACCCCAAAACCCCATGACTCTGTTTGAATGTAATATAGGCGATGCTTAAGTTATTTTCTAATTGAATTATAACAACTTTATTGATAGCTGCTTCACATTTAATCACGCAATAAAATTGTCTAGGTTGAACTCTATTCGCACACAAACATATAAGTATCTAAATTCACAGTCAGTCATCACTGTCTGAGTCACTGTCATACCATATCTCCATGTAGAGATCTATGATTTCCTCTAGTGGATAGTAGTTAGAGAACCTTGAGTATGGTCCTTAAACAGATTTCATAGTCTTTTTCAGAGCTTTTCGCTCAGGGTCATACTAATCTAAGGGTACTGGTTTACTCTAAGTGGCTCCACGAACATCAGCTTCTTTAGATTAACTCTTAGTATCTCCTGATGCCTACCTACTCAGTGGTGATTAAACAACTATCTATATAATACATTTAGCCATTCATCTCGATGATTCTCCCATCTATTAGTAATATTCTTAGTAGTATAGTCAGATGCATTTTTAAAATTCAGAGGGTCCCATTAGCTATTGCCACTTCCAGTCTGTCCCTTATCTACCTTTCCATTTGCCTGGCCTGCTGATCCTTTCTTCTCCTCTTCAGCTGATTTCTAGGTCAATCTAAACAGAGGGTTCAAAATCTGCGCTAAATATGCGAAGCTAATTGATAGTTTAAAAGCTAGCTTACAATTGATTTTTTTCCATTAATATGATAATATAATTATTTAGTATAATTTCAAAAGGTATTAAATTTTAAAATGAAAACAGCTAATCATCTATAAACATAATAAACCTCTTCTAATCTCAGAAATGGTAAGCAGGCAAACAGATTTAATAATACGAAGCAATACAAGCGCTAGCTCTCCTAATTACAGGGTGAAACTTCTCAGTTTATGCCTCTTTACCCCAACTTCTCATAATCAGTTAACAAAAGACAGCAATAATCTCAGAATTAATAATAATAGAATAATGGATAAAGTTACTATCCTTAATCAACTATGAATCTAAATACGAACAGTAATAACTTGATAACGCCAGGATAACCGCCCACTTAACTCATGAATCAGTCAGTGTAGTTCAACCTTGCCCTGACTCAAGTAGTAGGCAGCTCTCAGAACTCTACTTTCACTGATTCCCCCAGATTCAGGTCGACAAATAACCCTTAATATGTTGTGTATCAGTAGCCTTATGAAAAACAAAGTTCAACAACGACAACAACAGCTTCCTCAAAACTAGTAAGTCTACTTCAGTCTCACTCAATCCTTCCATAGTCCCGAGAATCCATGGGCGGCCTCTCGCACTCCTCTAAAAAACATAGAGAACTCAAGCGAGCACAGGAACTGTCAAGTAACATAGCATCTCAGCAGCAGGTTTAATAAAATCTGAGGCAGAGTTAGTAGGATAGCCTAATCCAAAAGAATGCAAGCATTAATCAGTAAATTACACCCAATAACTAGGGTTCAAAATAAATTCAACTCAATAAGAGTGCTATGCAGACCAGATCCCTATCTAGGGAAAAATTCCAAGAGGAGATAGTGCAATTTGAGAGTTAGCCAATAAACATTAGTAACACTAATAAAGAAAATAATTCTAATTCAAGTTAAGCCATAAAGGGTATGAAAAGTGGCAGTGCTAGTAATTAGTTCAGAAGATGCTCTGAGAGATAGCCATCTAAGCGCAAAGACTTTGGAGGTCCTCTAAGTCAGACAAGATAGAATACAGATAAAATCGAAAGTCAGTCTGTGCATGGAAGTAGCACTCCATTAGCTTCTCAGTAGAAAAATAATATGATACTGTCATCATAGTTTGAAAACTCAAGTAATAGAGACATTGAAAGCGATTTGTCTGGGAATGAATATGATGGAAAAGACTTTAATGATTAACTGAATAAAGCAGATAATTTAAGTGAAGTTAGTGAAGAGAGCGCATTTGAGGAAGAAGACGACGAGTACTTTGGTGACAGTAAATAGTAAAAAGATGGACAAAATAATAATAGTTAATTCTCTAAAGCATCCACTTAATTACAAGGAGATGAAGATTCAAAATAGCAGCCAGAAAATGGAACAAAAAAGAAGAAGACAAGTATTCGTATTCTTGCATCGATGCCAAAGAATGCTAAAGAGGAGGAGGAGAAATTCTTTGAATCTAACTGCCAGATTAACCCTTAATTCGAGTATGATAATCCTTCAGTGGCAGCAAAGTTCATTAATCAATTTAAAAAGCCAAGAAGTGATTTACTACCCTTCGCTTAGAAAATAATGGATGCATTTCTGCAGCATTATGGATCTGAATCCAATTACTTGCTTACAGAGGGTAGAGTGATAACAGACTAGGAAGAGACAGAAATGATATTCAAAAAATATCTAGAGGAACTAGACGTCTTGGAAGTTGCAGTGATCAATTTTAGTGATAAAATAGTTGCTCCAACTTCAGTTACATACGATAACTACTCTTCAAAGATTAAGATAAACATTCAAGTCCCGGTTGAGTATCGTGAGGGTAGAATTATGGGAGTTCTGCATCATGAAATCGGTACGCATTTCTTGCGTCGATTAAATGAAACCTAGTAAGTTTGGCATGGTAAAAGGAAGAAGTATGGACTTAAGTCATGTATTGCTATAGAAGAAGGCATGGGTTGTATTCACATGATGCTAGAGTAGTCTAAGGATAAAGATAGAAGACCTTACCTATTTAAACCAGCTTTAAATTACTATGCTTGCTACAAAGCATCTGAATTGTCATTTGCTGAGTTATTCAATGACCTAGAAAAATATGTAGATAATCCAAGAAAGCGTTGGAAGTATGTACTCAGAGTCAAGAGAGGTCTATCTGATACATCTTAGCCAGGCGGGCTGTATAAAGACCAGGTCTATCTTGAGGGAGCTATTAAGATTCTTAAGAATAGAAGAGATATAAACTTTAAACTGCTTTACGCAGGAAAGTTAAACATAGAGGACTTAAAGCGCCCTAAATTTATAAAGTAAGTCAAAGAGTGTTATTGATGAAATTAACATAATACTTATTCATCATAATATAGGAAAGCTTAACTTGATAACATTATAATTCCATAGTTCATGGAGGACTTAAAGGAGTACAAGAGGAGTCTTGATACTATAGCCAAATTAAACTTCATTGATTGAGTCCTATAAACTTGACCCAGCCTTTTCTTGGTATGTCATCCTCTGCCCACCTATTGTAATAATTTATTCTTTGAATTCTCTCTTTACATTAAAATAATAATAATAAACATCAACACAAAATCAACTTTCAAAAGTCTTTCAAACTGTTGCTATTTGTTTTAATTAACTTACAATTCTACCATTCTTAGGTTAGGCTATTTCTTCAAATCAACCATTGCTTTTGGGAGCAAAGTCTCTATTAACTTGTATGTGTAATATTGAGGCTTTGAGAATGGATTGATGGGATCTACAAGAATGATGAGTGAAAAGTTAATAGCTTACTCTACCAATCGAATACTACATCGCCAGTTCTCTGATGTCTAAGCTCTAATTTGTTTCCAACATCATTGCTGAGTCTTCTGAACATGAGTAGGGTCTTCTTAGACTTTTTGAAATAGGTGTAGTCCTGTCTCACAAATGCTGGAGTAGCATCCTACAGTCTTGTCTTCTCAACTTCTACAAATAAATACATATAATTATATTGTAAAATTATGGACTCTTACCTTCTTTCATATTCTCATCAAGCATTATGTAGCACATATTCTCAACATAGTAGAAATCTTGACCTTCTAGGAACTTGCATACATCCATTATGTACTCTTTTTCAACCCAAATGAACAATATACCATCTTGCATCATTGATTTGGGGAATATGAGTTTGGAGAACTCAGTCATTGTGATACCTTAAAATGCCTTGAATTACTTCTTTTTGGCTTTCTTGTTTGAATCTTGTGACTTTTTCTTTCCAGATTTGGGGTCCTTCTTGCCTTTGCTGCCCTCTAAATCTGAGTCAGAATCACTGTCAGACTGATCTTCAGTTGTGCCCTTTGCCTTCTGAGATTGACTTGCTTCCTCAAGGTATTCCGTACTCACCTTCCACTTAGGATTTATGAGAATTGCTTGGCATTCCTTGCAGAAGTCTGCAAATCTAGTATTCTGGACCTCCTTGACCTTGAAAACCTTGCTGATCTTAGACATATCATTGTCATCTTCTTCATTACCAACCTTCTACTCTTAATACTTCTCCTCTTCTTTGGTTATCTCTCTTGCTTGCTTATCCTTAGGAGCTTGCTTGTGGTTGATCCACTTCATCATCGACTGCTGCTTGAGTTCACTTTCCTTCTTGGCTTTTCTCTCTTTCTTCTTTTCCTCGTCCTCCTTCTCCTGACGCCAAGGCATGATGATCTAGAATATAGTTTCCTTGCCCTCTACATATCTCAGAGTGGAAACTCCTTCCTTCATGAGCGACTTAGGATGTCTCTTGGCCTTGAACATGTATTGTTTCTTGTTTGAATTAATGGTCTGCTATTGAGAGGTCTAGTTCTAGCCACCTCCGAAAAAGCTTGTTATTTGAGTCTGGCCTTCAACCTAGGATGGATCTGAGTATATCTACTGCTACTCATTGCCGCTCTCTCTGTCTGTATCTCTAATAGTAGTTATTGGAGGACTGCTCTGAATCTGTGAGTGCTGTTACTCGCCTCTCACTCGTCTCTTGCCCAATTGATTCGAGGCCAAGTTGAGGTTGCCTCCCTTTGCTGAGTTTTGACTTGCAGTTTGAAGTTGAATAGAGTTAAGGGAACTGCTAACAGAGTTGGTTGGATTCTTCCCTTCTTGGCTTGGATTGCCTCCCCCAGATGAAGAGGAGACCTAGGATCCTGTTGTCTTCTTGGTTGTGCCAGAGTTTTGACTCATTTGAAAATATTGAGTTTAAGTTTAAGATTATAATTAGTCATGTAATTGCTCAGATTTAGCTATCTAATCATACCGATCATCATGGGGTTTTGGGGTTTTGGGGTTTTGGGGTTTTGGGG